CAGCTTCTCTCATTCCCAGGGCTGGCCTCACCCCCCTAGCGATTGCGGGTGGGGGAAGAAGTGCCGCCCCCATTCTCTGGCTGCCTGGCAGGGTCACTGCCCCCCCCCGGCCTGTTTTTCCCCGGGAGCGGCTCCTTTGGTGGCCTGGGGGAGCTTGTTATTTACTTTACAGCTTTTATGGTGTGCCCGCCCCAAAGACTCTGGGCAGGATGCAAGTTAAAACTGTAAATACGGTTGTAAAACAAATCAAATCATAAATCTTCCCTCCCTCGTGATAGGTGACAGCAACATTCCGTTTCATAGCTGAGATAGGGAGAAGAAAACATAGATTTGTTTTTCCTCATCCTGAAAGATTGTTTTTGTAGGCCTGGATAGGGTTTTGCCCCCAGCTCTGGCTTCTGCTCACCCATCGCTTCGAAGGAACCCTTTTTTCACGCAAGGCCTCTGTTCACCTCCAGCCCTGCAGTGCTGCCCAGGCTCTTGGTGCTGTGATGCGGACCCCGCAGAGTTGGGGCGGCCTTTCCTCCAGGCCCCCTGGATTGGGGCCTGTTTCCCCGGTAGCCACCTCTAGGTCAATACTGCTTTTATGGGCGTGCAAAAAAGAATAAACTGGACTCACTCCCCAGTCAGAAGCAAAGGGGTCCAGAATTAGGGACCAAAGAGCAACCCTGCTTGTATTTACTCGGAGGCTCCTCACAGACCTGCAGGTGTAACCGCGGTGCTTCCTTTAGTCACCCGGAGGCCCTGGGGGAGAATCTGCCAATGGGGGTTACATGGAAGCAACTGCTCCCTCCTTGGCCTTGAGGCACAGGCCCACACAGCTTACGTAAGTGCTTGACCCTTCAGAAACTGCCCGGGATTGGGTTCCTGGAGGGCCTGGCAGGAAGAAGAGACTTGGGGACTCAGCTAGAGGCCCCAGCAGAAATCTCAGGTGGGCTGTGGGGGGCATAGCCAAAGGAGCAGGGGGCTGCAAGCCAGCAGGGCTTGGTGACTATTGGTTGGAATTAGCAAAGCCCTGCAGAGGTGTTCCGGGGGGGGGCAAGTCAGGCCTTTCCCTTCAGAGCTCAGTGGGACCAGTCTGTCCTCCTGGAAGGCCCCACTTGGCTTGCAGCAAAAGGCCCCTGCGGCTTGTGGCTTGTGTTAAAATTCAGCCCACAGAGAGAGAACCAGCAGAGGCTGGTGGAAGCACTTTGGTTATGGGGGGGGGGAGGGAAGCAGAGGAAGCCCCATCCCACGGACAGGTTGGCTGCAGGGAGGGAGGCATTGAGGTGCTCCTGGGTGGCTGCTGTGTTGAAAAAGGCTCGGAATTACTTGTTTATCAAGCGAACGGCAAGACCACAGTCAGACCTCTGTCTCTCGCTTTGTGTTTTCCAGGAACAGCCTTGAAACCCGCGCACAGAGCTGCAAAGCAGCCTGGGGGGATTTGGCTGGCAGGCGTTCTGGCGCTGAGCAGCTTGATCCCCCGGGAACCGCCTGGTTGCAAGGCCAGGGGACGTGGACGGTGCGCGGGGTATGCAGCCCCACTGCCCTGGGCGGGAGCAGCCAGCACTGCCTCTTTAAGAAGGGAGGTGTGGGGCTGCTTCCTGGCCCCTGGGATTTGGGGAGAGGAATGCGCCGTCCAGCTTAGTCTCATGGACTGGCCTGGGGGGGTGGCACCGTGCAGGGTGAACTTCTGCCCCTCTTCAAATCGGGGCAGCAGCGTGGCTGAGAGCAGCAGTCCGCGCCCCTCCCCCTTCTTGCCCACCCCGCTGGGCTGAATCACACCCTCCCCAAGCGGCAGCTGCTCTTCAAGTCTTGCGTTCCCCAAAGCAAGAGAAGCCGTCGGCATCTGGGCAGCCACCAGGAGGAAGCTCTGGGGCTCTGCCTTGCGGGTAGGAGCACTGGCCTTGGTTGGAGAGATCCAGCTTGGCCGGATTCAGTGCCAGCCAAACAGATCCCCTTCTCGTTCCACTTGAAAGAGGATTAGAAAAAAGGCTGATCCTGGTGGTTAAGCAGCCTTCTACCGCTTGCGAGCAGTCATGAGGGCGTAGAAGCTGCGTTGTCCAAGACAGTCTCTCCCCGGTGCCAGGGCTGGAATGCAGGAGCCGAGGGGCCCGGGGCTCGGTGGCCGTGCTTGGCATTCCCAGCCACATCTGGCCAGGGTGGGAGGTCCAGGCGGTTCTCGCAGGAGGCCTCTCTGGCCTCTGGATTCCGTTCTGCGGCCCCTTGGCACCCAGCCTGTGTCCGCTGCAGGCAGGCGGAGGAGCAGATCCTGTGCGCCCCGTTGCCTGCCACAGATCAGCCTCAGGCCTTCTTGATCTGGTGCAGTGGGAAAAGGCTTTGGGGCACGGAGGAAAAGCAAAGTAAGAAGGGATCCAGAGCACAGGCGAGCAATCTTCTCTTGGCTTTCAGAAAGTTACAGAGGCAGGCTGTCTGGACAGATTTTTCCAGGTGATTCTGAAACTTAGTTTGACTTGTTTTAGGAATGGACTAACATCTGCCTCAAGGAAAGGTGGATGTGTCCTAACTTAACTTACGTATTTGTGTATGTCTGCACATGCAAGTTATATTGCCCAGTAGCTGGTGGCCTGGAAGCAGAAATAGCGTTTTTACCTGAACTCAGGAAAGGTAAATTCACAGTCCTATTTCATCCTCCTTACATTATTTATCTTTTCCTTCTTGATGAAAGACGCTTTTCCTCAGCCATTTCTTCCCAGAAGGTCATCCAACTAACCCCCTGCCCAGTTCAGGATATGCAGCAAAGATCTCCCGATGGCAACTCCTCTTCGAATCATAGAATTGTAAAGTTGGAGGTGATCTCAGAGGTCATCTAATCTGGGCCCCTGCCGGCGCAGGATCTGCTTAAGTGTTTCAGACCAATGGCTTCCCATTGGTCGTGGCCGTTTCACGAGCACCCTATTCCACTGGTTGGGAGCTCTTGCTAGAAGTTCCTCCTAGTTCCTAACCGGAATCTGTTCCCACTGGAGTTTCAACCCGCTGGATTTCGTCTTGCCCTTTCGGGCGGCAGGGAACAAGTTCACCCCCTCCTCCCCAGGACAGTCGCTTAGATGGCTGGAGGCTCTTATGGGACCCCAAAATAGCAGCTGCCCTCACTGCTGGCTCATGGGCTGACTTGGGTCGACCAGGACTCTCAGAGCCCTTTGATGGGCGCTGTTGCCTAGCCAGGGTGCTCTGACCTTAGACTTCTGCTGTTCATTTTTTCTATCCAGATGCAGAACGTGGCATGTCTCTCTGCTACGTCCCCATCCCAGGTGGTTCAGCCCACTGTTTAAGTCTGTCTAGATCTTTTTGAGTCTTCTCTCTTTCATCTAAAGCAGTGTTTCTCAACCTTGGAACTTTAAGATGTGTGGACTTCAACTCCCAGAAT